TAGCGTTGATACATAGAAGATAGGTTACTTTCGGGTAGGAGTGGCGAGTAAATGGCCGCTATAGATGTCGCCCTGGAGGACACTGCGGAAGATGGAGACCCTCGAGACCAGCTGACACGAAGTCCAAATGACGCGGTATGTCTTTTCATGCTTTGTGGCTTCCAACCATGCAAATGCGCCATGGTGCACTTGCAGCCATTCGCCTTCACTCGGGGTTTATTTAATTCTCTGCTGCGTCTATAGTCTGATGTCGCGGCTGTCGCGACGTGTCTCCACGATGTGCTGGACGTGGACGATGAACGGGTGGATGCTGTGCGTCGTCAATTCGAAGAAGATCTCGGCGTCTACTCCGTTGGTGAAGCATGGGAACTGTTCCAAGGTGAGAGATTGATCACAGAGAGAAAAGCGCGAGTCCGTGCCAGAGACGTGGGGCGGCGATGTCCCCGTGCCGAGAACAACCGGAAACTTTGCGAACGGTGTTTTGAAAGACAGTGTGTCCTTCATTGCAGAGGATTTCCAGCTCTCCCCGCTTCGCACCGCCATGGCACTGAGAGGGAATGTACCGGGCCTTACCGTCTCGGACGCGAAATCCCTCTTGTTCAAGATCAAAACGGCATCGGAGGGGGCCGTGGAGGATCAGGGACACAGGGACGCGGAGACTGGCACCGTCGAGGACGCGGCGGAACTGTGGTCCCGATGAGTGCACCAGCCGCCATCACCGAAGCAGAGGATGTGCCACCCCGCGTCAAGTCGCGTGGTGCTACTGGTAAGTGGCGACGTGAGATGTGTGGCAGGGAAGAGTGGGCAACCTAGAAAGGAGGAACCTACCTCACCCCACCCACCCAATTGTATAATGTTATACATACCGACGTCTATGAAACATCATACCATATGACAACAGAAATGCCCCCCTTGTTTTACAACCCTGTGTAGGCGAGTTCAAAACAAACTGGTCAGAGCTCGGCGGTGTAGACCCATATGCCTGCTGCATCAGCGGCGGCATCAGGGGGTGGTTCATCGGTGCTAAGACTGGCAGTACGCGGCCGGTCGCATTCACCAAGCAATACTGCTGCTGAAAGCCGCTGTGGGTTATGCGTGGTTTGATGCCATACTACAATGGCCTGTCTGTTTTCTGCGCCAACGTTTGGCGTTTGTGCGTGGGCAATCCGGGAGTCAACAGCAGGAGGGAGGACCCCTGACATGGGGAGCGCGGGTAGCCAATCCACACGGAAGTGTCGTGGTTTACATGGGCCCAGGCGTGCAACGTTTTGTGTCAGTGTTTGGTTGCATGGGCGGAATACCGGGGGCGATTTCATGGGCCATGCCCCGCCCAACGGAGAGCTCGATGGATTAAGGCATAGATTGCATATGGTGAACATATTCTTCTCGGCAGACATCTGCATTTTCATTTGTTTCCAATGTAGCTCGTGGTACTGAGTTTAGCGGTGTATCAGAGATTTGTCATTGTTTCCACCCGAACCTGTTCATGCATACGAGTGTTGTGGGATAAACTGGACGAACTGCCGATGAAGTGTGGTGGGAAAACAGTGGGACCTCGGCGGCTGACTTGACTGGGTAATGCAGTCGTGGCCCTGAGTGCTTGTCTCCCGTAGTAGTAGTAGTAGTGCCAGAGTACGGTAACCAGGTGTGCAAGTTTTCCCACTCCATGTCGTGGGATCGAAACTAATACGCACATGAGGCACTTGTAAGCGGTCCTCTTGCAAAGTTTTCTGTAAATTCCTTAAAAGTCATGTGCTTTTGGATGCCAGCCCGAGCTAATCCTGCCAACTTGACAGCCAATTCGACACCCTGAACACGCTAATTCGATACCCTGTCAGGCCAATTTGACACCCCGAACAGGTCAATTCGATACCCTGTCAGGCTAATTCAATACCCTGTTAGGCCAATTTCGGCACCCAGACAGGCCAATTCGACACCCGGACAGGCCAATTCAGGCCCAGCACAGCCCAATTCCGAGGCTCCACAGCGCAATTCGAATACCTCCGGCGAGTCCGCCAGAACAATTCCAGACCTCGGCAGACCAATTCTTTTGTCAGGAATAAAATCCAGGCTAATTCTGCGACAGAGCTCCTCCCTAATTCCAGCCCGGATCCTACCCTCCTTGCACAGCGACAATTAGCTCCTCCGCAACGATAAATTTGAATGCATTCTACAAATATATTTATTCCGCTTGCCAGTGGATTGACGTGAGGTGACGCTGTGAAAACATTCGACAGACAAAAAGCAGCGAAGCGTCGAATCGTCAGACTTACAGGATAGGCATTACGCTTCATTATTCGTAGTTATTTTTTTAATTATGTGATTCTCTATGTTTTTGCTGAACTGGTACCAGCTTCCCTGTTTCTCAGCGGCTTCTGGATGACAAATCCCTAACGGACGCGACGACAATCGCCACCACAGGTAGCAAGTCGTGACATGACAGGCTTCGGGCATCCCATGTTTTCAATTCACCCTTTCTCCACAACTTCATACTGGCTATCATTATTATCAAGTTTTTTTCGCCAATTTGAACTAAGAGCGGGCGACCCGTGCCGATTCACCTGCCCAAGCAATTGCTCTTCGGGGGTGCTGGCTGCGTGGCTTCCGTACGACATGCAGAACCGACTCGATCGGCCCAACCATTATAAAAACAATTCAACTGGTTATGGCAGCTTTAGGTTTTCCTAGGCTTAGGGTCTTAGGATACTCCCACTGTAGGCACCAGTAGCGCCAGTAGGCTAGGTTTAGCGTAGTTATCTTAGCAGTAGTCCCTCCGCTTTATAAGCGCATTAGTCAGGACTTGGCCAGCGATTCGACAAGTCTGCAGGAGTCCCGCCAAACTACCTTTTTTAAGCTACACTTGGCAGCATGGACGCCCAGGTAAGAGATGTACAGATGCCCCGGCCCCGCAAGCAGAGTATGGTAGCTTCACTTAGCTGCGTCCTTTTGGCTTTTACGCCACAAACAATAATTATCTGCTGGACCCAACACGCTCATCATCCTGCTGACGCGTCATTGCCATAGCAGGGCGTTGCCATTTTTCATGACTTCCCCTGCAAGCCATTCTGTGGAATTCGCTTATTGCACATGCGCACCCGGGCGCCATGAGCATGCTGGTATCCACCCTCTGCGAGGTGTTTGTGCAAGATTTAGGCATATGTACTCTTGCTTTTGCCAATAACCTTCAGTCATTCGTTATGAGCTGCTGCTCTACTGAAAACTCTTCTGCTGGAAACATTCTTGTTCAGCATTGTGCGATCAATCAATAGAGAGCACCGCGCGCAGCTTTTAGGTGCTGCGGTGTCGATGTTAATATATGATGCATACATACTTTTGCATTGTGTTGGACTTATTTGTTTGCCGCTCTGATATTGGCTGCACACCGTATATATATGTTGCATGGTTGGTCTGCAATACCCGTTCCTTGCACTGCTGCGCAACGTTTTTTTTTGCGTGCATGCTGCCTGTATGTATGTGCTCTACTTAGCTTTAATCCTGCCGTGCAATTGTTTTTTTCATTCTGTTGTTGCACCGGTTTACCCCACTCGGTGGAGCAGAGCAGCTTAACACAGCGAAGCTGAAAATATTTTGTAGTCCTCTACACACTAGCGGTACACTTACCCGTCAGCGGGGGAACATAATGGCCACGTACCCGCATATACATTCACTTACCTCTTGACGGCACGAAGCGCACATACATACATAACACATGCGCACATGCATGCATACAGACAGACATGTGTCTATCTATATGCATATAGTGTGGTTGCTGGGTGGGTGGGCGCGGCTGAGACTGAGGCTGATGT